CATTTAACCGGTAAGCCCAGTGATAACCAGTTAGCTTACCAGTTATTGTTTAGCATGGAGTGAGTGAGCACAGTCTGACCAGGGTGGTGGGGAAGGGGAGGAAACCTATGCTATGCCCTAGTAGAAACCAGGTGGCGTTAGGGCAGGCAGGAGGGAGAAGCAAGAAGGAACAGAGGGGGTCTAGTACACATAGCCTAAAAGGAAAACAGCAGGTGGCCTAATGACTCATCAATTAAGCAATTAGCTGCTCCTTTACAGGTGCTCCCTCCCTTCCTCCCATCACTGGGGCTTCAAGTGGGTTGCTTTGGTGCTGCCTCCTGCCACCCCACCAGAGGCCCTAAGAGCAGCTCCCAGCAGCAGCTATGTCCAAGCTGCGGTGTTATCGGTTAACTGTTTAACTAATGTAATTAGAGGAGGTTAAATGAATTATTTTTTAAACAATATTTACAGTGTCAAAATCATACTGATCTCCTGTAGTCTTTCCGAGTTCTTAGACTAGAAGAATTGCTCTATTATTTTTTGCAGTAAAAAAACAGGGTAAAAATTGAGAGCTGACATTTTCCAAGGGCTATCTTAAGTCTGAAAAGGTTGAGAACCACTGGTCTATAAAAAAGGTGCCACACTGCCCTCTCTCCTGCTCAACTTCAGATAAATGCAGCTAGCTACCTGCCTCTCTGGAGACCATGATAATGTATCTTATCAACTAAGCAAAGAAAACATGTTTGTTAAAAAACGTGTCCAAGATTCTTTCCCTCATCTCCTATTCAACCCACACAGGGCTGAATTTTAGTCTGTCACAAGAATATTCTGCCTCCCAATGAACTATAGCAGAACTTCATCACCACCTTACTGAAGCATAATAACCGTCTGCTAAATTCAGTAGATTCAATAGATGCATCTCAAAATGCTGTCAGGACATAACCCCCATGCCTACAAAAAGAGACTGCAAACCAGGAAAGGAACCATGAAATACTAAGGGCCCCCCCCCTACATGTGCTGTTAAAGGAGGCGTGATCCCATTGCACCTTACCGCCAGAGCAGGGGGAGCCTGAGATCACAGTCCCAGGCTACCCATGCACCGGCTCCCACAGCTGCAAGCCCCACAATTTACAAGGCTCGACAGGGCTTACAGTGGGGGCAGCATTCCCCACAGTGCCCCCACTATGAGTCCCATAGCCGAGGTGGGATGTGGGGCTTGCAGTGGGGGCAGGGTCAGGAACACTGCCCCCACTGTGAGCATGGTCAGCTGCAGGGCTTGCAGCAGGGGTAGCATGGAGAAGGCTACAACCGCCCCCATAAGCCTTGTTAGCTGAGGGACTTGCAGTGGTGGCAGTGTTCCCTGCATGTCCCTACTGCAAGCCCCACATCCCACATCGCTGTGAGGCTCACAGCAGTGGCAGCAGGAAGAGTGCTGCCACCACTGCAAACCTCCTGAGGTATGATGCTCACAGCAGCAGCAGACAGGAAAATGCCAGCCCTACTCCATGCCTCCTGAGGTGTGGAGCTTACAGCAAGGGCAGCATTCCCCCACACTGCCCCCAATGTGAACCCCACTCAGTGGCATCAGCGTTCTTCTCGCTGTGAGCCCTGCACCTGACAACACTGCCATGACTGCAAGCCTTGTCACCTGTGGGGCTGGCAGTGAGTGGTACACACCTGTGGCTCAGAGCTGCTCTGCTGATGGGGTTCCCAGCTACAGGGGAGCACTTGGGCACATGTTCAACTAAGGGCATGATCAGAACAAGTCACAAAGTTATTACACATTTTTTGTGGAATAACTTTGTAGCTTATTTTATCAGGCTATTCATCAGCTGAATATATAGCCATGTCACAACTTAAGGGCTAGGGACAGACATTACACATAAACCAGTTTAAGTGATCAGAAACTGGTTCAAACCTGGAACAGAACAGATGTTCAGTGCACATAAACCAGTTTGAAAAAGGCTGAAACCGGTTTGAGATAAACCTGGTTGAATGGAATATAAGACTTAACTGATTTGGCTCAAACTGGTTTATACAATGTGTGTCCCAGACCCCTTGCTAGTTTAAGATGAACCAGACTCCCCCAGCATCTCGGCATGCTCTCTGGGATGGGCAGCACTCTCTGCTCCACAGCAGGGCTGGCCCCTCCCCTCTGCTCCCTGGCTGCAGCTCCAGCAGAGACTGCAGGTACAATGGAGTCTGCCTGGCTTCTCTCTACTAAGCAGTGACTATTCCCTGCCCCCACTTGGGAGGTGACCAAGGCAGACAGGCTTTTTGGACATAATCAACAGGTAGCTTAATGTCCTTCCTTGGAAAAGCTGTTTAGGAAGAGCTGTTTGCTGCCCCATTTCCCCTCACCACTCCCTGCTAAGCAGGAATTCCCCCCTCCCTTCTGCCTTGCAGAGAGGTATCTGTGCATTAGCTAGCAGACCACATGCTGGCTACCGTCTGTGCTGAATCAAGAGGTAGAATCAACAGATAGCTGGCAATAGCCCTCTGTTGTTTTCTTAATGGGATGATAAACACTGTGTTAGGGGGTGATAAACACTGTTATCAATTCCCTGCTGGGCTAATCGGAGCATCCTGCTGGGGCCTGGCCACACCCCGCCTCAGCTCAGTATTGTGCAAGAGAAGGGAGGGTTGCTCTAGCACCCCCAAGGTTCTAACCTAAGCCACTGCAGGCATAGATGTTAGTATTCAGAGATGTTAGGGTCAGAAGGGACCTCAATAGATCATCGAGTCTGACCCCCTAATGTGCCTGCATGTCTGGGATGTCTGTGCAGTTGCAAAGTGATTTAACCTAGCCAGGTTAGACTAACTTGCAAAGATTGAATCAATTCAGGCTCAGGCTTTTTTAATGTCTGTCCCTAGTCAAGGAGATTACCTTTTTAAATCACACCTTAAGTGTAACACATGGAAGGCACCTTACTGTCTTTACTTGAATCCATGATGAGGTTTTGTTCTTCCTATTCAGCATGGAGAAAATCCTCTCATCTTGATTTAAGTACAAGAAAGGGACAGAAGGCTACTGCAGCTCCAACTCAGACCCTGACCCCGGCTCAGGGTCAGAGTCAGAGCCACAGACACCATCTCCCCTTTTCCCACAACCTCTGCTTCCCCCAAGCCTGGCCCCTTGCTTGCTGTCCCCCATAGTTGCTGCTCCTCCTACCTGCCCTGCCCCAACCCCTTGCTGCTGCTTCCCCTCTGATGTAGCTCCAGCTCTGCTCTCACCTACAGCATGGAGCACATGGTTGCTTTAGCCCCTATCCAGGCATGCAGCAGTAGAGGCAGTGGCAGCACTTGCAGCCCCAGCTCTGGCTCTGGGCCAAGACCAGGGCCACAGCTACCACTGCTGCTGTGTGGCCAGGCAGGAACTGTAATGATCATGTGCTCCATGTCTCAGATCAGAGCAGGCTAGAGCTGGAGCTACACAGGAGGGCAAGTGGTAGCAGGAGCCCCAACTAGGATAGGAAGGGGCAGGCACTGGGGAGGGGGGCAGGTGTGAGAGGGTACCGCCAGCAGGGCATGCAGGCACTGGGGCAGCAAGGGAGGCAAGTGGTGGGGGGAAAAGGCAGCAGGGGGCACATGCCACTTAGCTCTCCTGCAGCTGTGTGGAGGGGGGGTGAGGGGATGAATTTGAGACAGACTTCCCACAATTGGATTCTATACATGGAAAATTATCACAATTTTCTAAAATCTCCATGTAAAGAATCTAATTATTTGGAGGGGCATCTCAAAGTTTAAAATAGTCTTGGATTTGGGTAAACGGTATTTCTATGGCCACAAAATATTGTTCAGCCAGGTCCATCTTGATAGTTTAGCAAGCATCCCCCTTCCCCTCCACCTCGACTTTAGGAAAGACTGTAATTAGATAAATTAATTTTATCATAAACTCAATAGAGCTATCTTAACTTCTGCACTATGATGAAGGGGATTTTTTTTCATTTTCCAGTAACTGAGGAAAAATCTTTAGGATGGTCCCTTTAAGGGGAAAGTCTAGCCTTATACCTGTAGGCTTGTTTTTCCCCAGTGAGATTTGCAAATAAACCAGGCTCATGTTGTAGATGTGTAGGTACACAACCTGATAAAGAGTTTTGATGCCACAGGGACTTCCCTCCTCTAGAGAAGTCACATGACCATAGACTTAACAACAGTTAAAACAACTTTTAAACAATCAAGAGTCCCAAAAGACCCAACAAAAAGTTATAAACCCTGGCTGCAACCCCAACACATGGATAGTTTTCCTTTGTGGAACAAACTGAAGAAGCTTACACTAAGTTTTTCCCCACCATTTTGTCACAAGAAACATCATACTTTAATATAAACTCTCAGCAGCAATGCCACATGAAATGCTGGGCAGAAAGCACATGATACCCTACTTTGGAGGAGCTACTGCACAATACACTCTACAGCCAAAAGCCATAGTAGAGAACTCACCTCTGTCTAGTGGAATAGGCGCCAAGTGACAGGCTGGCAAGTTTACCTAGCTGACATGTGGATTAAGACTGAGACAGAGCTGTATGGGAAACTAAGCAAAATAAATGTTTTGGATGGTAGGCTAAATTACAGGCAGAAGACTTCTCCCCTTTGCTAGACTCCATAAAAACAGAACGGTTGAAGTCAGCTTAATCTGGTTATTTAATTTGTTGTGGAAGTGTGGTATAGGTCCTAAGGTTCTTGGTTAAGAGGTATGTGACACTATGGTAGATCTAGCCAAGGCAAATGGTAAGAGCCTATAGCATAACAGATGCCATTTGGAGCCAATTTAAATCCTAAAATGACATAACCTGGGAATTTAGATACATATGAGAAGTTAAACAAGCAACTAACTACTTAGCAGAGGGTGGTGCTGTCCCTAATTTAAAATTTAGCTAAGGAAAGTGTGTAATTTTCCATTTTAGCTCACAATTACTGCATGTAGCCAAGGCACAAAAAAATCTGGCTTTAAAGTCAGTCTTGAAGGAAGCATCTTTGAAGCAGAGACAGAACAAAATGATCTAGCACATGTATAATCTCACCTGTGTGGTTGCCCTTAGGACATCTTGCTGCTAGCCCCTTTTTGGAAGATAGTTTCACTCTTGTATACAAATGTCTACCCCAGTGCTGATGCAGAATGGAAAGGAACAGAATTTGAGTTAAAATGACTTCAGTGAAAACCTGAGATCTTGATTTCATGTGTGGAAACAAACCAAACCAAAAAAACCCACACAAGTAGACACTTGTAAGTCAGTATACAAGGCAAATTTCTATTTAACTTTAGAATGAAATCCAGGACTAATTTATCTGGGTGCCACTCAAAGTTTACTAAGTCTCTTCATTACATTCAAGACTTAATGTATTTATAAGTATGATACAATCAAGAACTCTGATAAATTTTAAGCATCTCAAAGTGAACAATGAACTGCTAGCTTTTAGGATGCCAATTTTATTATTGGGGGCGGGGGGAATAAAAGGCCGATGCCAACTACTAATTAGTCATCCAATGTTTAAATGTGGCTGGCACCAGAGTAAATTTGTTGCTATGTAATTATTTACTGTACTGGTATTTGAAATTCACTTTGTCAAGATTTCATGCAAAGAGGCTTAGCAAAAAATTAAGCTGTAATACAAGACCAGCAATATTCATAGAGTTCTACCACCCCTTTATTTTAAGGAGCAAGCATTAAAATAGATTTCTTATAATCATGCAGTGGCTTACGCTTCCTGCCCCCCACCCAACCCTCCCAAACTTCTGTTTTATAATAATTATATTTAATGTTTTGAGATCTGCAAGGAAGGATTATAGGTGTGCATAAGTGCTCTCGCTCCCTTGTCTCTGACATTTCTGATGCTCCTGGCCCTATATAATCTTAGCAGACATATACAAAATGAGAAAGTATCCCAGCAGAGAAGTAACAGAGAAGTGCGCTCTGGCCAGTGGTAGTATCTGGGGCCATGGCAGCAGTCAAGTTGTTAGTGGTGACACTGGCTGGCCAGCAGCTATTTTTGCACACACCTTCCCACCAAGTCGGCACCTGGGGATGCTTCCCTGACCATCTCTGTCCCTCCCACTCCCAGTTATGCTATTGTATCCCAGTAGACAGGATAAATGAAGTCTATACTCACTCTCAGTTATTTCCAGCAGTAACTGAATATGGGGGAAAACAAACAAATCCTCAATTCACCATATTATAAAGTTTATGCTACACAACTTAGTTTCCCACCTCCCATTTTTTCCTTTTTCAGAATTTTCATTCATATTATTTTCTTAAAACTCTAGTTAGACACAGATGGAAAATGTATTACACACATGTGATCTAATTTTTTTTTTTGATTCTTTCATGATGATCAATATTTGTGCCTTGCAAAAACCTCAAGATGGGATAAACCAGGGGTCTCAACCCCTGGTCTGTGGGCCAGTCCTGGCCCTCAGCATGGTATCATCTATGGGGACCAGTAGGAGGCTCCCATGGCCCCGTGTACTAAATTGGGCACACAGGAGAAAAAGGGGGCCAAACCCCAGCTGGGCAGGGGCAATGCAGGGACCGATCCGGCCAGATGCGGGTAGTCCAGGGCCTGATCCAGCCTGCAGACCAGCTCTGCACCATTCATCTGGCCCACAGGGCTAAAACCATACAAACCACTGGAGTAGATCATTAAGAAGGTATCCAGTGTAAAGAAGAAACAAAATATGTATTGATTTTTTTTTTTAATTCCCAATATAATTATTTATACAAATGCTTGGTCACATTTAGTTTGTTGTAAAATTAAAAGTTAGTTACTTAAAATCCTGATGCTACAAAACTGTAGGTTATTTTAATGAGGATAACACGGTCACTTACCTAAATACGAATCAAAAGGTCAACTTCCAGCAAATAACATACTGAAATAGTTTCCCTTTTTAAAAAAATCGCTTTGTAAACTATAAACAGTAACTATACATGTAACAAGCTATATAAGGATAAGCATTTTACTAAGGTTACCATATTTCCAGTTCCAAAAAAGAGGATACATGTTGGAGAGACACCTCACTCCCAACCATTGGCGATGCATAGGGTGTGCGTGGGGGTGCACATGCACACCCTGAGAGTGCCGGCGCACCCCCTGACCAATGACAGCCACTTCTGGAAGCGGCCGCTGTGATTGGCTGTCTCACGATTGGTCGTGGTGAATTCCCCCCCCCCCTTGTTGGGATCGGATTCCCCTCCCCCAGTCAGTGAGATTGGCCATAGGGGGACCCCCCCAGTTGCCGATTGGTCACTAGGAGGGCATGTGCCCCCACCCCGACTAAGGCAGCATCAGTTGCCCATGCTCCCAACCCACAGCCCCCTTTGCCCTGCCAGTGCCCCTCACTCCCAACCTGCAGGCCTCCGTCCATGCTGCTGTCCCTCACTCCTGACCCACAGACCCCTGGCCCGACCAGTGCCCCTCATTCCCAACCCATAGTCCCTCACCCCCCTTGAGCTATGCTGGTGCCCTTCACTCCCAATCTGTAGCCCCCCATCCCTACTGCTGATCCTCACTCCTGACCCACAAACCCCTGGCCCTAGTGGTGCCCCTCACTCCCAACCCACAGTCCCCTGCCCCCGCATCCCTACTGGTACCCCCTCACTCCCAAGCCACAGCACCCCCAGCCCTGCTGGTTCCCTTCACTCCTGACCTGCAGGCCGCTGCTGCCCCCAGCTGCCCCCGTCCCTACCGTGCCGGAGCGCAGAAACTTTGGTCCACGTGGGTAGAAATGGAGTGAGTCTGGCCCCAGCATGGGCTGGAGGGAAGAGGAGAGAAGGCCTGTGCCATCCCCTGCCCTGGGCTGGGGATCCCACACCATGCCAGGCAGCCTGGTCATGGTCCCTCCCGCCCCCTGGGCAGCATCTCCCAGCTGCCCCACCCCTGCAAGTACCAGCCTGACCATGGAGCTTCCCACTGACCCCGAAGGAACCCTCCCCATGCTGGACAGCCAGGCACTTATACCTGCCACAGCCCCAGCACCCGACTTCCCCCACTGCTGCCAGCTGCTGGCCCCCCTCACACACCCATTCCCTCCACCCCACCTCCCTGACAGTCCCTAAGCCCTGGCCCTCCAACTCCACTCCCCATAGACTTACCTGAATCCAGCTGCTGAGGCTGCTCCCACCACCCTGCCTGGCTGCATGCCAGCCACATGCATGTAAGTGCACACATGCATGCCATGCCCACTGCCTCCAAACAGCAAAATCCTGCACATTGTTTCAGATTTTAAAAGACTGCCCAGACATCAGAGCATCCAAAAAGAAGATATGTCCAGTGAAACCCAGACGTATAGTACCCCTAACTAGCCAACTGCTTATCAAGAAAGATGGGGGGGGGAGGAAGCAGGTGGGGGTGGAGCCCCCCCAGCCCAGCCCGCTCCCCCTTCCCTCCTGCTGTTTGGGGTCCAGGCCCGCTCCCCCCCTTCCTGCTGCAGCAGTGGGGGGGGAAGGGAGGAGCAGGCCTGATGCAGGGCAGGACCAGGCCCGAGGGTGGGGAAAAGCTGGGAGGAGCAGGCTTGGGGCCAACATGGGGGTGCGGGGCTAGGGGAGTAGGCCCAGGCCCGATGGGGGAGGAGGCTCTCTCCTCCCCTCCTCCCGCAGCTGCCGTGTTGGGCTGGGCTGGGCCTGCTGTCCCCCAACACTGCCGTGGCAGGCTGGCTTTTTCCCCTGGCTCGGGCTTGCTCCCCACTCCCCCATGCATTGGGGCTAGGTCCATTCCCCCCTCCCCCGCTTCATCTGTTCTGTTGCTGCCGCCTCCAGGGAGCAGGATGCTCCGTCCTGTGTCCCCACCGTCATGGCAGTGGGCTGCCTTCTGTCAGAATGCTTCTTCGCACTGTTTGTCAGCCAATCAGAGCGCAAATAAAGTGTTACAGACAGACAGGCTTAGGCTTTTATAATATTTGAATTTTACCAACATAGGAAATTTTGCATATATTAATAGGAAACTAGTTTTAACTCCACTAAAAAGATAAAGTCTTCTCAAAATCAAAGTTTCCACGTAAGAATCATATATAAAGCATTTCTCAATTTTAGTTGGCCTACATACAGAGATAACAGTTCTTTGATTCAAAGACAACACAGTTTCTGTTTCCAGAGTTCTCCCCATCACCATTTACATATTAGAGACTCTTATGTTTAAGAATCAGGCACTTTCTAGCAACAGCAGCACCTAAATGTCTGGAAATGTATACTCCAATGTAAATAAAATATATGAATTCCTTAATTTTGCTTTAAAAATTGGAAGCTGAAGTTACAATAGTGATAGCAACTGTTGCTAGAGGACTTGTTTGTGCCCTTGTGGCTTGCATTTAAACAGGTTTCTACTCTAAGGTAACCATAGAAACTGCAATGAAGAGTCTCATTTAAAAGTCTTTATTTCTGCTGGTAGGTTAAGATAGGAGACTGCAGCTAGGCTAGAATTTTAAAAAACAGTAAAAAAACACTGCTATCACACTAAAAGGGCCATATTTTATGTGGTGAGCATGTTTGTTATTACCCTGAAATAGAATAGTTTTCTGATGGCATACTGTTAGGTTAACAATAATTTGGATTATTAAGAAGTATTAGCTTTACAGCTAAATACAAGGCATGACCTGTGGCCTAGCAATGCAGCTGACCTCAAGGCAAAATGTTAGCTAAGCCTTTGCTTGTGTCAAGTAATCATTTTAACTGTATTAAGCATTTTCTGAGTTAAAAAGTGGATCTGTGTCTGTGTGCTGAAAAATCAGCTACAGCAAGAAGTAAGATAAGACAGGGAAGCCATTGTTCTGGGTGCAGTGGTTGTGTCCTTGAGAAGTATCTACTACTGTGTAAGGTTTTGCTAACATATTATAATGTTACTGTTACTTAACTTTTAGCTTTTAAAAAAGTGCTAGTTCAGCTTAATAGAAATATGCTGTTACAAAGATTTGTAAAGCACCGCCCAAATATTGCTTTTTTGTTAACCCTGTAAGTCTTGCCTTATTGTAATAAGTATAAAAGATCGCCTCACCCTTTAAGGGGGGC